AAAGAGACACACACACAAAACATATTTCTCCCCACAGGTATTTACAGCTGAAATTGAAACAATTATGAAAAAATCAATATACATCATATATATATATATATATACATATAGACATATATATATATATATGTCTATATATATATATATCTACATTTATATATATTTATTTATATATATATATATATATATATATATATATATATATATATATATATATATATATATATATATATAAAAGAATAAGACAATATACTTATGATATATAATATAGATAAATACAGTGCTCAGCATAATTAAGTCCACCCCATTTTGAAGATGAATATTTTTATCCATTTCTCAGTGAACATAAGCCATGGTTTTCGCTACATTTATTCTTCCACGAGGCCACGTTACCTTGTTGGAGTTTAAAGCAATTTCACCTTACTTCAGAACGTATCAATGCCATTTTGTAGGTCTATTGGAGACATTTATATATATTCCAAGCAAATCTAATGAAAGTTGGAGACATATTGTTACATAAACACACTACAAAACAATCATGAACTTGAGTTTTATTAATGCATAAGTAAATTCTGAACTATGATAGTATTATTTATTTTTATTTCATATTCAAGACATTTGGCCAGCGGAGAAATTAAAATGGTGGTGCCATTAAATGGTGGTGCCATTTTGGTTTCTCTCAAGGTTTTTTTTCTTCACTTTCACCAATTTGTGAATTTTGTTTTCCCTCTGCGCTAGCTTGCATGGTTTGGGATCGGTAGAGCTACGCATCGATGGATTTGCTCTCCAGTGTTTAGACCCTCAGTAGTGATTATTAAACAACATTGAACTGAACTTAAACACTAAAAAACTGAACTACACTGTTCCAATTTACTATGATCTTTTATGTGAAACTGCTTTGACACAATCTACATTGTAAAAGCAGTATACAAATAAAGGTGAATTGAATTGAATTGAATATTAGTAAACATGTTAACTAACATTAAGCAATGAAACCTAATTGTAAAGTTTGACCCAAATATATTTCATTCATTCATTTTCTTGTCGGCTTAGTCCCTTTATTAATCCGGGGTCGCCACAGCGGAATGAACCGCCAACTTATCCAACAAGTTTTTACGCAGCGGATGCCCTTCCACCCGCAACCCAACTCTGGGAAACATCCACACTCACACTCATACACTACAGTCAATTTAGCCTACCCAATTCACCTGTACCGCATGTCTTTGGACGGTCGGGGAAACCGGAGCCCCCGGAGGAAACCCACGCGAAGGCAGGGAGAACATGCAAACTCCACAGAGAAACGCCAACTGAGCCGAGGTTTGAACCAGCGACCTTCTTGTAGTGAGGTGACAGCACTACCTACTGCGCCACTGCCTAGCCCTATATATTACATTGTTAAACTTATTACAATTTCAAAAGCAAAAGGCAAACAATTATTAAAAGATACAGTACAGGCTAACTTTTTGGTAGATGCATTCAATTTTACAACATTGCTGCCATGGTAACAGAACGCAGTAAAATACCCATAAAAGTGATTTTTCAAAAACTTTAAAACTCAATATACTCAAGTTTTAACAACAAAATATGTGCTTTTATAAAATGATGAGCTTTACATTTGAGCTTTTGAAATCTTCATAATCAATCCTATTACTGTAACCTTGATTTCAGCTTTAAAAAGAGAATAAATAACAAAGAACAATTCCATTTTAGCTGAATCCACCGTTAAGCCACAAATGCTTTCAACTTAGCTTACGTTTCCCATTTAAAAGCGAATGCCACTGCAGTTATTCAGCAGAAGAAGCGTGTGCATTTGTATTCACAGCCGCATACTGCATGTCTAAAGGGGATGAAATTAATTCATTCTGATTTTTCAGGATTACCGACATAATGACAGACCATCTGACTGTTTTATTGAAGAATTGACTGACTGTTTTACTAACAAACTAAAAGAGGAGGTCAGGTGGGTTCCTGTGGCACAGAAAAGCATGCAAGCTTTATGAATAATGGTGTGTGTCCACGTCAAACTCACGCCCTCCTGCTAGATGTAATTTAGAAAGTACAATGCACATAAATGACACAATTTAATTATGGCAAAATATCAATGAGGATCACACTTATGAAATAAAATAATTAAAGCAGTTACGCTCATGAATACACTCGGCATGAGGCTGATTGAAAGCACTTCATTATCCATTTGCATTAACGGCCTGATTGTGTTCCATGTATCAATCTGATTGTCACAGTAAGACCAAGGCCAGTTTGTAGGTGTGTTTGCCAGAGAAAAGTCTGATTGTGCGTCTGACCTGTAAAGACCATGCTTAATTTGACTACAACAAACACTCTTTAAAGGCAGGCAGCACACAACTATTGTTATTTACTGTACCAGAAGTGAGCAAGAAACTCAACAAAAGACAGAGAAGGAGGATGAGGAACACGTGATTTAGAAAAAGAAAATAAAAGGATATACTTTTCCAATATTTTACTAATTGCTAAGTCAATAAAGTTGATATGTATGTATGAATATATATA